CGATGTTGTAGACATTTTGGCGGGATCGTAATGAGGGTGTGCGTATGCGACGGAGCGGGAGCGTTACGGAGCGCGAGGTCCCGGCTTGGGAGGACGCTGGTTGTGGGGAGGTTCGGTGTGAGCGCGTTGAAGCGGAGGCTGTCTTGCCGGAGGTATAGTGGTAAGGATAGAATGCTGTCGCTGTGGGTAGGATTGCTGCTGTTGAGAGCGCGAGCCAGGTTGGCAGATAGGTGTGCATGGTGTTGTGACGTCGATGTCTAGAGTCTGAGCTCTTCAGTCCTTTCGCCTTTCCAATTGCTGTGTGACGTCTTCTCGAGGATTCGTGGTATCAGAATCGCTTTCCAGATTCCAAATGCGATGTTGTTAACGCGTCCCGTTCGCCTTCAGCCGGCACGAATCCAATCCAATCCAATCCAATCGCCAGAAACGAATGTGAATAACAAGGCGCAGTAAACGTATACACAAGAAGAAGAAAAGATAACGACTACGCAATACCCGCCTGAACAAATGGTACCTAGGTAGGACGTGCGGCTGAAAAGAAGGACAATGCGGGTATGATCATCCAAAAGGCACAAGTAGGTAAACAGTCCCTCAAGCTTTCCAAACGCCACAGAAAACCCAAGTTATCGTGAACAGAAAAGAAGACGAAGAGAAACGGATAGCAGTGCAGACGAAAGAAAGCACCAACGCCATCGCGCCATGCACCACGCAAGCCTCACCCAACATGACGTCCTTGGCTCTCTCTCCTTCCCTATCACGATATGGATCCATCGGACGCGCAACCCGGCGAGTTAAGCTATGTGGGGCGCTAGCGCGCCCATCGTGTTTACCCCTGGAACCGACGTTCGTTTGAAACAGCGAGGTCATGTCTGACAGGACCAATGACAGCTGCATGATGTAGCAATCTGCATCGGTTGTCTGGCATCTGGCATCTTCCTCGTTGGGGGCGAGGATGGGTTCAAGGCTTTGATTTGCTGGTTGACAGAGCTGATGTAGACGATCGTGGGGAGGGAAGGTGGGCTTGGCGTAATGCGATGGGCGACGGAGAGGCCGATGGGGGACGATCGGTTTGGGACTGTCGTAAACTGATTATGCGATGGTCCTGGGCGATGAGAAAGTCTTGGTAGCACTGCGATTGTATGTACAAGAGAAAATGTGTGTATGTCGGGTTCATTCAAATGGTTCTACGAGATCTGGCTGCGAAAGTTTTGACATCTACTATTTCGCCCCCGCCTGAATCATCTCTGGTGCTTTCTTGACACCCACCACCTTCTTTGCCTCCATAATCTCTAGCCTGCTGAGACCCATACCGCTCAGGTATTCGTTGAAGCTGCCAAGGACCTTCTCAAGACCCTGTCTGAGACACTCTCTAGCTTCGTCTACTTCAGGCACCTTCCTCCTCTCCGCTTCTGGCTTGCCGTTCGTTTCCTTGTCACTCCAATGGATCGGAGCTGTGTCCATGTACTCATCGATCTTCTTCAGCGCAATAGTAAATATGCGCACTATGCTCGGGATTCCTTGGTGAAAGCGTCCTAAGCTGTCTTCGGCAAGAGAAAATACCGCAAGATTTGCTAGTGCAGTCGCGGCATTGCAGACTTGGGAAAGTTGAGAGTAAGGTGCGCCGAGAACGACAATGTTCGATGTCCGCTGGAAGGAATGCTGGAACAGTAAGCCGACCGGGGAAGAAACAAGCTTGTTGTAATAAGTCGTGAAGAACGACTCGGCTTCCCTAGCACCTTCTTGCGCCTTCTTCATTCCCTTGTTGATGGCTTCCCGACTGTATGCTTGCTGTGCGTTTCCTGGAGAACTGTGTGACTTTGCAATACTGGCGGTTGCTGCTTCGACATGTTCCCACCTGGTACTTGGTTGTGGTGGTGCAGCAGCAATCGGCTTGTCGTCCTTCAGCGGTTGTGCGATACGAGGAACCAGATTGATAGGCCCGGTTGGCTTGTCTTGACCTGATGCGTCGCTGGGCTGGTAGGCTGGATCGAGACCAGCACTGACGCGTTCGATAAGCCACTTGAGCTGTCCCAGACAGATATCCGTAACTTGCTGATGTGTTGGGGCCTTCTTACGATCCATCTCGCTGTAGATAGTCTTGCGGCGCTCGGGAAAGGCGTCGGTGATGAGAGCTAGCTCCCAGAAAGCAATGGCCTGAATTAGTTAGCAGTGAATGTAGTAATAGTATCACGTCCTCTTACCTTGACAGTATCCTTCTTTGACTTGAGTCCGTTCAAAAGGGATCCATTGGGGTCGGTAGAGTCGTTCGTGATGGGCACATCGTTCTTCAAGGGCTCTTGTGCGAGGTACACATCGAAGGTCTTGTTGACAAACTCCCAGAGCACAACGAGAAGCGTTCCTTCTGTGACGAACATGAAGCACAGAGGCAGGAATGGGGCAAGTCCTGTGGGTGTGGATGTTTTGGACAAGCTCCAGAGGTATCGACTGAAGCTGTAGTAGTAGCTCCAGATCAGGTTTCGGGTCCCGAGGTAATAAAGACAGAATCCGGCAGCTGCAATGACCGAAGCCAAGAAGGTCGACTGTGTTGCAATGCCCTTGAGCGATCTCGTAAGGACATGTCTGGGCTTGGGGCCCCGTCTTGCCGGGGTCGAAGTGGTCGCATCACCCCGCTCCTTCTTAGGCTTCATAGCCTGCAACTCAATCTTGTCATAGTCCCTCCACAGGTGTACTCCAGATTGTGCTGCTGATAGTAGGTAGAAGAGATAGCGCAGGTAGAGCGGCCTCTCGTTCAGCCGGAATCGCTCGTGCATGCGTCCGGCCTCGATGAAGTTGAGCCTGGCTTGGGTGCCCCGCGACCAGATATATGTTTCGACAAACAGCATCGCGGAGAAAGCGTATGCGACAAGCGTGATCAGCGTCGCAGGACGGAAGAAGTATCTTGTGAACGTCTCGACTCGGGTTTCTGTTTGGCGGCGGCCAACATGCCACTGGGCGACGCGAAGGACGTAGATGGAAAGGGCGGAGAGGAAGATGAGCAGAGTCCGAATGCCAGTGAGGCCTAGAGGAAACCACAGCCATAGCACTGTTTGTGTTAGTTGATGTGTATGGATTTCATTCAGAGTCTCTCACTGTTATCCCATTCTCCCATCCAGCACGCGATCGCATAGCAGAGCAGCAGCGTGTACCGACTGGCCTTGTTGAATCTTCGGTGCAGAGCTGGCGTCAGGTAGTCTCTGTACGGGCGCACTTGCGTTCCCAGCGGTGCGAGCGCCATGTTTGCGACAGTTCGGGCAGAGAGAGCGTATGACTGAGGAACGGGCTATATCATAGCAAAGAAGCAGAAGGATGGCGTCGCGCCAAGGGTAATTCGAACGCGCTGGTGCGGCAGTCTGGTGCACTGCAGCAAGGAAAGCTGCCCGACTTTGTCAAACAAACATTGTTGATCGGCGCAGCTACCACTTGGTCGCCGACAGCTGCACGCTTACCTAAGGGATCCGCTTGTGCCTTGAGCCATGTGCCCTAGCCGCGGTCCTTCGTCATCGCCGCAGGAACCACCGAGCACCAACCTCCAGGTAGCCACGATTGGACTTGCGTACTAGGCTGCAACAATCCCACACACGATCGCATAGCTTCAGACATCCTCTAGACACTCTTGTAGAAGTACTTCGAGTGCCGCTTCTCTTATCCGGCACCATGTCGTTCCAACGCTCCAGCGCCCTCGAATCGCAACCCACGACATGGCGAAGGGACGACGATCCGTCATACGCCGATGACCCAGAGTTCCGCGACTTCGCCGACAAGCTTTCCGACGACCTCTTCGCTCTGACCCGCAACGTCGCCCGCTTGTCGCAAGAGACGGGCAAGCTAGGGACCAAGCACGAGACCGCCCGTGTGCGCGAGCGCGTGAAGACCACCGTCGAAGAGACATCGGAGAAGTTCAAAGAGCTCGGAGAGGGATTGAAGAAGATCACGACCTGGCCCGATGTTGGCGTATGGATACCTCGTTCTTGAGATGGAAGCCGGTAGCTAACAGACCACAGCCCTCGCAGAAGTTCACGCAATCGAAGCTCCAGCGCGAATTCAAAGCAACGCTCACCGAGTTTCAACACCTCCAGAAGCAAGCGCTAGAGAAAGAGAAGCAGTCGGCACAGGCGGCACGCACAGCCCTGCAAGACGTATCATCGCCAAGCGAAGAGCGGGGAGGAGACTTTGGGCAACAACAAGAGCAGGAACAGCTGCGCTTGGCGAACCAGGATGAGGTCGACTTTCAGGAATCGATGATCATTGAGCGCGAGTCTGAGATCCGTAACATCGAGCAGTCGGTGGGGGAACTCAACGAGCTCTTCCGTGATGTTGCGCATATGGTGCACGAGCAGGGTGCTCAACTCGACATCATCGAGGAGAACGTTGAGGTCACACATGACGCGTCGCGAGGTGCACATGTGAATCTCAAGCAGGCGAGCAACTACCAGAAGAGCGCGAGAAGCAAGGCGTGCATCCTGCTGCTCATCCTCGCCATTGTTTTGGTCATTATCATTCTTGCTGTGGTTCTGGATTAGATGATACGTACATCGTCTCTGTAATGGTTGGTTCTGCTTTCTCGGCGTTGCATTGTATATCTGGGGGGATCTTATACCATGGTGCATTTCATTGCAAATTGCTGTCGTTTTCGAATCATGTTTGCCAAACGCGTAGTTTGGCTGTCTATCGCATGTCATGCAGTGGCTCTTGTCTTAGCGAGGTCATATCTAATCAACGTTCAACATTTCCTCACTCACTCTTGTGTGTCCTTTCTGTGTCGGTTACTCGCTCCTTCCTCCACGTGCGGCTCTGGCCAGGACTCACCTCGCTGAGAAGGCGCGCTACGAAAACTTCCTCTCACTTCTCACACCACTGACTGTCACTTTGCGTCTTTACTCTGACACCATTCGTATCTCGTCCAGAGAACGCGATCGATCCTCGACCAGGGTGAGGGTGACGGACTACCTCGCTTTCCGTTTCCCTCAGCTTCTCGAGTATTCAAGTCTCATTGCATCGCTATGCAGGCCTATATGAGAAATCAGCAGAAGGCTGTGCCGCCTTCTCCGGAGCCTATGCCGCCTCTTGACAAGGACAAAGCTACGCCCCCACTCCACAGGTATGTACCTTCCATTGACATATAAGCCACAGCTAACCTGCATCCAGTGCCGCTGCACAGGCCGGCGGTTCAGCCAACGTTGTCATCGAGATCGGCTTACTGCCCACCAAATACTACGTCCAGAAGGCGTTCCTCATCCATTACTCCGACTACTTCCGCAAGGCATTGAGTGGTACCTGGAAAGAAGCCGAAGACGGAGTCGTGAAGCTCGTCGACGTAGAGCCAGCCGTCTTCAACCTCTTCCTGGAGTGGCTGTATACCCAACAGGTTCCCAACGACTGCTCTGAATACAACCGCATTGCAAATGCAGGATTGAACTTATTTTTCAGCAATAACGGAGCCCTTTGGAGGATCAAGCTATACGTGTTCGTGGACCGTTTTGCAATCCCCAAACTGCGGACAGCTTTGAATCGGCAGATAGTCAACGACTCTGAAGCTGTTTCACGAATAACATGGGACAACTTATCCATCACGTACGCCTTCGAGAACCTTCCATCAACAAACCCACTCTTAGATTTGTTTGTGGATCGCTACTACATGGAATGGAATGGATGGGGTTCGATGCAGAGCTTGCCGCATGAATTCCTACACCGATTTTTGCAAAGGGTAGGGGGTGAGCGTGCTCAGGGCCGCAAATCGGCCTCAGAGATGTTCAAGATGGACCTCTGCCTCTATCATGAGCATGCGACTGATGCGGAAAAGAGCTCTTGTTCCCACAAGTCAAGCTTGGGTAACGGAAACCTCGCATTGTTGCTGCAAAACAGGGGTGAGACATGCCTACAGAGCATGTTCTTTTCCTCACGTCCAGCGACTTCTGCTTCGTAGCTTCAGGTCGGATAACATTCCACATTCTGTACGGGTATCTACATAACGTTCTGCAATCTAGCTAGCCATCCGCTCTATGCGCTGTTGATGGGTTCGCCCTTCTCATCAATCAAACTCTCTTCAGTCTTGACTGGACCTTCACCAACACCTGTCAAGATGACTCTGCTAACACCCTCCTCCAAGAATGTGATGGCGGGACCGGCGTCAAACTTGACCTTCTCAAGCGCGTCGGCATTGGCTTGGACAGCCTGTCCCCTCTCGCCTTGCCATCCGTCCTTCTCGTTCAGGATCTGCTTGAACAGACCAGCAACTTCCTTCTCATTCTCCTCAAGGTAGTACACAACAGCGTTTGGGCCCGCATCGAAAGTGTACGCAGCAATGATCTTCCCAGCCGCAGCGTTGATGCTCTCAACAACCTTGATAGCAGCTCGGGAAACATCGTTGAGGTAGAAGATTGGAGGGAAGGTATCGAGGCAAGTAGCGTGGAAAGAGTTGCTGTCCATCATGGTAAGCTTGCCAAAAGCCTCGAAGTCCTTGTCCTGGATCGCCTTCTGCATCTCCTTCATGCGCTTTGGGACCGTCTCTGTGGCTCTCGACTGGAAGAGGCTAGATGTAGCAACAGTGATTTGCATGCCACTGGTACTTGACACACCCTTCTTGGCTGCGCTAACAACCAGGATAACAGCGCGCATGTTGGGCCAGTGGCTCGCAGGCGCAACCTGGAAAGCAACACTATCACTGCCGTCCGAAGCGGAGCCTTGTTCCCAGCCTACATATCCACCGAAAAGCGAGCGGCACGCGGAGCCAGAGCCTTGCCTCGCGATACGGGAGAGGTCGGTTGGCGAAGACGGGAGCTCGTAGAGGTTTGCAATTGCGCGGACAAGAGCAGCGAAGCCGGCAGCCGAACTAGCCAGTCCAGCAGCGGTGGGGAAGTTGTTCTCAGATACGATGCGCAGAGGCAGGTCGGCGAGTTTAGCGAGGCTAGAGTCCTTCTCCTCAAGTTGCTTCCTCAGTGCCCTCAGCTCCCTGAAGCACGCTTGTGTCCTAGCACCAGAAACATCCTGCGATTGGCCGTTGAGGAGAAGAGTGTCTTCTTTCGGGTAGGCAGACGAGCACGACGCGGTGGTGTGGGTGCGGAGGTCGGACTGCGCGAGGGTGACGCTGAGGGAGGAGTTGGTGGGGAGGTTGAGCTTGGGGTCGCGCTTTCCCCAGTATTTGATAACCGCGATGTTGACCGGGGCGGTGGTGCTGGCACGGTGGATGTCGGACATTCTGACGTTTGCTACAGGAGAAGGAAGGGAGGGGAAGAAGCAAAACACTGCGGGTAGCGGTGAAAGTCAAGGGGGCTTGGTGGGGTTTAATGTTTATATGCAGGGTCTAGTTGGATGCGGTCTAGAAAGCGCGGATCCAGGACAGTGACTCGAGACAGCGGAATTGTTTGCGCAATGACAGGTTAGACAGGTTCAATCTTGGAAATTGGCCGTCTACCACAGAGTATTCTCCGGTGGTAGAAAGAGATACACCTTGACGCTGTCCAAAGCGCTGGAATGCGGTAGTTCAACGCCAGCCAATCAGACCCGCCTGATTCCCGCAAAGGCCCGTGCCCAACATTTCTCGATGGCTTCCGTCACCATCCCGAGTTTCTCGGAACCCGACAAAACCAACCTCACACATCTCCACCACAATGTCCTCGCAAGACGACCCAGCAGCCGCCTGCCCCGTCGACCACAAGACGCGCGAAGCATGGCTCGCCCAAGCCCGCGCCCAAAACGGCACCACACCACCAAATCCCCATAGCACACCCATCCCAACACCCGCCGCCGCGCCAGCACCCTCCCAATCCGCCGTCCAGCAATCCTGCGACTCATCCACGCTCGACCAAAGCACCGCCTCCCCACCCCCAAGCAGCACAAGCATCCTCTCGCAAATACGCCTCGGCACCGACCGCGAAGTAAGCACAATACCACGCGCCCTACCAGACCAAATCGCAGCACAACCCGCACCCAATGCACGACCGGCAAACAACGAGCGCGACACCGGCTCGGACAAGAAAACCGGAAACTGGATCTACCCCTCAGAGCAAATGTTCTTCGACGCCATGCGACGCAAGTCCTACGACCCGTCCGCCCCAGACATGCGCACCATAGTGCCCATCCACAACGCCGTCAACGAACGCGCGTGGCACGAGATCAAGACGTGGGAAAGCGGGCGCGGGAGTGAGAAATGCGGCGGGCCTAAATTGGCGAGTTTCTCTGGGTTGAGCACGAGTTTAACGCCGAGGGCACGGTGGAAGAGTCTGATGGGGTATCAGCCGCCGTTTGATCGACACGATTGGGTGGTGGATCGGTGTGGGACGAAGGTTGAGTATGTGATTGATTTTTATGCGGGCAGGGATGAGGGGAAGGTGGGGAAGGCGTTGAATTTTTATTTGGATGTTAGGCCCAAGTTGAATAGTTGGGAGGGGGTTAAGATGAGGATAGCGAGGTTTTGGGGTTTTTAGATGTGGATGTGGTGGATAGACGGGGAGTGTAGGATACATTTGTATATATGTAAGATTAGTTGACTTGGAGTGGGGTATAGACATGATCTTGATGAGTATGGATAGATGTATATATGAACGCGAACGGGAATAGAGTAACTTCGCTCAAGAAGGGAATCCTGCGCCTGAACGCGCAGTCGACGCTACCATACGCCTCTATGCGCCATGCGTCCATCTGAGACTTAATTATATCCCCGGAACAACACCCTCTAAGAACCTCTCCTCCCACCCTCCGACATCAGGATAGGTACAGCCAAACGTACGACAAAGTCTATTCCCCATCAAAACCAGAACGCATTCATCCCAACCGCCTCCTAATCTAGTAAACATCCACACCTAACTTCCTCAACTTATTACAATTCTTCAACTCCATATTCCGCGCCTTGTTCATAGCCTCTTGATCGACACTAAACCACCCCTGTGCCTCTTCCATCGCCCTCCGCTGCCTAACCCTCTCATTCTGACACCTCGTATTCGTAATATGCACATATTGGTTCTCGGCTATGTCATCCAGCTTGCGCCATTTCTTCGGCGTGTAATCATGCACTTCCTTGGGATCAACGTAGTAATCTATCTTTATCCGTGTGGACACGCGCTTGAGTGTGTTGGGTGAGCGCGGTGTTTCGAAGACGAGGTTGGGACTTGCGGAGGTGGAGGTTGAGCCGGAGAAGAGGGAGGAGAGGAGGGGGAGGACGAAGAGGAAGAGGAGGGGGAGCAGGTTGGCGAAGGCGGAGGAGAGGTTTTGTTGGCCTTCGCTGCCGGGGGGGACGGCGGTGCCGGGGCGTCTGCGCGGACGACCGCCGCCGAATTGGTGGACGCGGACGCCGGGGCCGCCGCCGAGGTTGAAGACGAATCCTGGGCCTGTGTCCATGCCGCCTGTGGTGGTGTGTTAGTTTGTTGTCGTCTTCTTATTGTGCAGTATAAACCTCGACTTCTTCAAAGACCGAGGTTTCTGGGCAAAGGAAAACGTACCAAAAGGCCCCCCAAACGCACCCCCAAAGAACTGTCTAAACAACTCTTCAGGCGTCATCTCCTCCTCAAACCCACCCCCTCTTCTCGCAAACCCATTCCCAAACGGACTCGCTCCACCCCCTCCATTCGCACTCGCATGCGCCCTCGGATCAAACCGCGCATCCGGATCCCCGCCAAACTGATCGTACTTCTTCTTCTTATCCGGATCACTCAACACCTGGAACGCCTTGCTGACCAGCTTGAACGCATCGTCCGCACCGTCGTACCCGTTCTTGTCCGGATGCGTGAGGAGGGAGAGCTTGCGGTACGCTTTCTTGATGTCCGAGTCTGAACAGCTGGCTTTTACTTCTTCCAGGCCGAGAATCTTGTAGTAGGCGGTTGGCGCGCATGATTTGATGCGTATTACGGCGGCTTTTTGCTCGACCGTGAAGGCTCGGCCGGCGCTGCCGTCGTGGTGGTCTCGCGATTTGGCGTCGGAGCCCGAGGTTTTGCCTGACATTGTGTCGTGTGCGAGAGGCGGTTTGTGGGGTATCGGTGTGTTGTGGTGGGAGATTGTGCTGCCGGGGCAGGCAGCGGTGGGGGTGGGAAGCCGATGCGCAAGTGTGGACGGCTGGTGATAATGCGGCGGTGATGGCGATGGGTGTGCGTGAATCGAATATCGTCCCGTGACGGGGTTGTGGTTGTATTAGTCGTTAAAGCGTTATCTGTTGTCTGTCGAAGTTCGCGAGTCCCGGAGGCCAGTTTCCATGTGCTGGGTTGGCACGGGCGGGCGGTCCACTTGCCGGACCAACGTCATGGTCTTCACCCAATCTCAACCCATGTACCCTTCTGCGCGCATTTGTTCCTGAGCACCGGACATATTCACCCATCAGTCAATTCTTTTACGCACTCTAATAGCACACACGAACTCCACAATGCCTGAACAACCTAAAGCCTCCATGCTGCAATCGCTGAGGAATTGGGGAGGTACGTGTATCACATCACTTCCTGATTCACCTCGTCGCACGTGCCTCACATTGTCTTGTACAAATGTCGAGTCAAGGTCACTAACTCGATCATCTTTGTACAGAGAACTCCGTACCGCCAACACTCCTCGCCACCCTAATCACAGCCCAACATGCTCGTCCATTCCAGTTCTTCCCCATGACGTTTACACCCGTCTTGCTCTTCTCCTCCTACCTGAACTTGAGCAACTACAAGACAGATGCTGCCGGTATCACGGCTGCATGGAGTGGGTTGTATGCATTGCTTGCTATGCGGAGAAGTCAGGTATGTTTAAACCATTCCTTCACGTCGAAGAATTCTTTCATCGGACTACATTGAGAGTGGCAAAATCTAACCAAACCCAGGGCATCAAGAACAAGCTCAGCGCTCGCGGCATAGTAAGAGGAGGCTCACTCGCTCTCTGCGCCATCAACGTAGCAGGTTGCGGTCTAGCCTACACATTCGGCAAGCGGGAAAAGGAAGAGAAGAAAGCATAGAGCTCGACAAACGCCGTCATTTGTAACATTATGTATCCCTAAGATTGTAATCTCTAAAACTAGTCATACGATCTTGCAATGAGATCTATCAGGTGCAGCCCATCTCAAAGACGCCGTCGCTATGCTGAACAATCGACATCATTTGCGAGATACCTTATTAATCCCAGGCATCACCCCAACCTTCCTCTTCTTCTTCAGCTTTCGGCTCTTCTTTCTTGACCTCTTTCTTAGGCGGCACGATGACCTTTCTCGTCGTTCCTGTCGTACTTGACCTGCTTCCAACCGCTGGCCTTGCTGCCTTTGCTGCTGGTGCTGTTGATTTGACGAGACCCTTAGGAAGAGCGTTCTTTGTAGGCTTCTTCGCGTTCGATTGAGCTGCCAACCATCCTGCGAAGTCAGGCTCGCCCTTGTCATCGTATGACGTGGTAGATGCTGGCTTTGATACGGCTGGCGTACCCCATGGGTCCTCTTCGTCTTGCGGTTTTTCCTCTTCGTCAGCGAAGCCGCCCCAGTCATTGTTGAAGTCTTCTGCCTCGTCATCAAACGCCGCTGCTGGATCTGGTGATTTGATGGTAGGAATTGAGGCGGTACTCTTCGCGCTATGAAGAGTCATTCCGGGCTTTGTTGCTACAGGGACTGGTGGTTTGCTAGTTGTTGTGGTAGCTGGTGGTACAGACGACGATCTTTGATCCGCTGCTCCATTGGTCACGGAGTTGGCCTGCATCTCGCCGCTTGTAGATGCTAACTTGTTTGTGAAGCTTGAAATGGCCCAGCCGGCCCACGACGTATCGTTTGCAGGTGTCCCAATCCGTGGGGTAGGTCCTCCGCCAGCGGCGAGACCTGGTGATGGTAGCACGGTATCCGGCATTGTGGCCGCGAACTTGCGGATCCGTGCAATGTAGATGTCAACACTCTTCTGTGCTTGGTCGCGAATGAGCTTCTCCTTGTCTACCAATGAAGGACACATGATAGGAAGGAGCTTGGTCGCACAGTCATCTTCCGTGAAGAGATCGGCTGTTGCGGCCAGTGCAAGAAGGGCGGCATTTCGAGCGTGCACGAAGGGATCACGCAGCGAGCGAGAGAAAGCGGCTGCGAGAACCTTTGCTCGGCTCTGTTGATATGTTAGTGTCTGTTCCATATGTCGAACCCATCAAGACGTACGCTAGCTCCCAAGTTCCGCGCAATCTTTCCTAGACAGATTGTAGTGTTGGTCCGAATACCGGGCTGTTCATCGTTTGCCGTCTTTGCTAGATGGCGAAGAAGCTCGCCATTCACTGTTCTGTCGGATAACTTGGGTACCACAGTAAGAATAGCTTTCACTGTCTGTTCTCTCACTACCGGTGCAATGTCCGAGAAGCCAGTCACCTGACGATGTTAGTATTTCGTTCAAGAGATTGAAGTGGCGCTTACCATCTGGGGGAAGATCTTATCGTTCACAAGCTTCTGAGGTAGATGGTCGATCATGAGCGGCAGGTTGTCTAACAAGCAGACTCGTATCCCTCGATCCGGGTTTGCGAAAAGCCGTACAACAACCGGTGTAATTTGAGTTTCGTACTCGTCGTCGGAAAGCTTCTGTCCTATTTGCATGACAGTACTGAATACCTTGGCGCCTCCGCCTCCAAACTCGACAGACTTCAATAGTTCAGGAAGTACCTTCATCTTGAAGAAATCCGCTGGGAAGTCGTCCGCAACCGCATCGAGCTTCCTATAATCGGTCAGCATACTGGTTAGAAATGGAATATGGAATCACCTACCCGAGTAGCTCATTCCGCTCGTCCTCGGCTTTCAGTCCCAGATTCTCAATGTCGTCCGTCACTTGAATCAATGGTGTTTGGAAGAAGCCTCCGATGCGCTTTCCCTGATCCAAAAACTGGCCCACGCTCATACGCGACTTTGGGTTTGGGTTGAGGAGGCGTTTGTATGATTGGTGCATGCTTGGTGGAATGCTCTTCATTTGCCCTAGCTGGTCGCTGCTGCTGTAGCTACCGTTGAAGACCTCGAAGATAAGGATGCCATAGTTGTATGCATCTACAGCATGCGTCGGGTTCTGCTTAACGACCTCCCACCCTCCTTTCGAAACCTCAGGAGCCATGTATCGTCCCGCATCTGGTATGAGACCACCATAGGTCGGTATTATGGAATCGTCCTCTTTCACAGAGCTCAGCGCATCGAAGCCGCCAAGTTTCCACTCGCCGCTTTCGCTAAAGAATATCGATGCCGGGCGGATGCAGCCGTGTATTGACGCAGCATCGGCATTCACGAACTTGAGCGTCTTCGCGATGTTGTGTAGCCCCCATTTCGTGGTCTCTTCTGTCAGACTCTTCCTCTTAACATGCCAGCTGAGTGGGCTTAGTCGTTCGGTCGCGATGTAGATATACGTCTCCGTCTCTACCGTGTCCAAGACCTTCACGACTCCTGGATGACGCAGAGTGCGTAGTTTGCGGAGCGCATTGCGAGCGAGGGGCAGTCGCGACTTGTTGGCGGTTATGTCGAATGAGAAGATGCTACATTTGGAGCCGTCTTCCTAGCAGGCGTACGTTAGCAAGTGTTCGCGCACAGGCAGACCTCCGGGCCATACTCGCTTTGTGCCGTTGTGCAGTGTCCAGATGGAGTCGTTCAAATCGACCCGATCCCCAAACGTGTAACCAAAGGCCGGGCCTTGCGATATCGCAGACGCGACCGCTGATTTGAGGAAATTCATAGCGCTGCTGTAACTTTGGTGAATCTGTACAGCAAGCACATGCAAGTGCACGCAGAGGCCAGATGCGCCTGCCCCACCGGATCATCGGCACGTGATAGCGCGATCCACGCTCAACGCACAGCCCTGGAGCCCTTGATTCTTTCCGTCCTCAACACCGGATGACACAACAACGGCGCACTCTCGCTTTTACCTGCCGCCTTGCATCCTTCTCTCACCCATACGCATGAGAAATCAAAAACTCCGCATGGCCGCTCGCAGGCTGTTCTCACATCGTCATCTCCCGTATGTCGCGCGGAAGCGGCACCTTGTCCTAGACGCGTCTCTCCGGACTAATCGCACTCTATTCCAAGTCGGGTCAGCGGATTGAACCACACAGCAAGTAAGTACCCATGTACTGACATCTGACACGGATCCGTTCTCCCATGATGACCATTGGTAAAAGGTTAGATCGCTGAGAACACTGAGATGGTTTGCCTTTGCGCCTGCTGCGTGGCCTAGTATGTCGCGGCCTTCACTGTTTGCGCGTGCTTGCCCGTTGAAGAAACAAAGCGGAAGCCTCCAGTGCAGCGAAATGCTGCCATGCAACAAACAAACTGAACAGAACGGATCCACCTCGTTCATTGTCGATTGACTTTTTCAACGATGATCTAAAAGTACCCGCTAATATTCATGTACTATTGCAGGTGCTAGCCTTCTACCTCCGTCCAACATTTCAAATGGAACATCATGAGAGCGAACAACAGGCGCCTTCTGAACCTCGTCTCAAGCTGCCACATCATGATCGGCCTGGCATTGTCGACAAGGAAGTCTCAGAGAAGCCTCCCACCTTGAGCCAAAGTCACGCACAGCCGCGCCGAAAGAGTGTGATATCACCGCCTCCACTGAAGCGTCAACGTACAACATCCGGCAAGCCCAACTCAACGATTCGAAAGGCAGGTCTTTCGACTGACCCTAGCGCAGTCACGCACAGGTATGGAGGATGTTGAGGAATACTTAGCCATACTGACGAGTACTATAGCTTTAGTGAACACGTTGTAGCCACCTCGACTGCGCAAAGCACCCGGAACGCGGGCATAATACCGGTCTCCAAATCGTTCCCAGCACCAACTGTTCCTCAACCAGATGTGAACCGGAACGCCCGCGATATCTCAGGAAGACGCCATGTATCTCAATCAAGAAAGCCCTTGAAGTCCGGTTCATTTCCTAAAGCTACCTGTCTCATCTGTGATAAATCCAGTGCCACGAGCTATAACCCGATAGTCGCATGCTCGGGATGCTCTAGATCATACCATGATAGCTGTCGAAAGCCTCCGCTTGCCCAGGGTACTGATGCGTAAGGTGCTCACACCTTCGTAATAAATAAAGGCTAAAGAAGACAGGCTACAATGGCGATGCTCAGCATGCTTGAGTGATATCGGAACACGTAAACCTTCTAGTGTGTCCCTAGCACCGGCCCCCGCTAGTCACTCTGTCGTGAGAGAATTGTTGAAACCGAGATTCGCCCACCGAGCTCCAAATGCCGCGCCCGATCGTGTCCCAGAGGTCATTCCTGAAAAGCGTGTGGAGCCTGAGATCGCCCTAACCACTCCGAGTGCTGCCATGTCTGTCAACCTGAATAAACCCAAGGATGTTGTGGGCACGTCTCAGCCACTTGAGCTAAAGCTGCTCGAGCGTACAGAGATTCCGAACACACCATCACAACGGTCGAGCCAGTTTGACAGTTCTATACCCGAGCATTCGTTAGAAAAACTCCCTAACGCCCGTGTGTCCCAACAGGACACTTCTACTCAAGATGATGAGGATGCATTGGCCCTCGATGATCTGAGCCACACCCAAAACCAGGTCCCCTTCACAGCTCTTTGCTCGGGCTGTCGAAAACAGACCGCATTAGTCAAGGCCAGAGAGAAAGATGCTCAGTGGTACGTGGGTACATGTTTTATTCCAGACAAGTCTGATCGATGTATAGTCCCGGTTGTCGCACAAAATTACGTATTGCAGAAACGGGCCGACAAGAGATACCTGAGACTCCGGATGTCGACACCGCTCGTCGTCATGCATCACTCAGACCAACGAGCTCGTCAAATTTGATCAGTCATCCATCAGCTGCAAGATTAGGTAATCATGAAGTGGAAATAGTTTCCTCAACACATGTTCCGCCAATGTCAGAGGATAAGCCTAGTTCAACAACAGCCAAAACCAGCTCCATGCCCTGGTTCGACCCGGATCAGGCAAAGATCCTGCCGGTCATAGGGAAGGTTCGTGATAATGCTCTGCCTGGCTTATCCTCCGCAGATACCCCAGCTCCAGATGCCTTGATCACGTCACAAACAAACTCCCATGAGCAGAGTGCGCCGATAGAAGTAACGTCGATTGCTGAAACTCTTGGCCAGAAGACTATGTCAAGGCGCAACGAAATAAACCCGGAAAGTCCATTGTCCAACAGCGCTTCAGTACCACAGGTCAATGAGCCGCGAGAGCGCTCTGTCCAAGCCGCTGAGACGCCAGATCTCGACGACTTAGCAGAAACGTCCGGTCCGCATGTTTCTCGTTCCGGCTCAACACGTAGTTCAGATCTGCTAGGAGAAAACGAATCTCGGAATCCGGCATCCACTGTTCCTGAACCTACCGAAGTGGGTACGCACATGTCGCCTAAGCACCCTTCTACTAATGGTTTGCCGGATCGAGCTGCCCCTGCAGCGGCCAAGGAACACGAGTCAGCGGTTTCAAAGTCGAATGAGACGGTTGAAAGAGATTCCAATATCTCTGAAAGCCCAACCGAAGCACACTCAGGTCCGTCTATACCAACGAAGCGTCACACAAACCGAGATTTAGCTAGGATAGCCCTGGTGTGTGCACAAGGCACAGGTATGACCGCGTTGGAGATAATCGACTGGCTGGCTTTGAGATTCTCCTACTTGAACAAAGGCCAAGGCGCCTGGGAGAAGAGTCTTAAGTCAGTTCTCTCCCATCAGCCTGAGTTCTACGGCGTGAAGCCTTCAGGACGGCCATATGAACGGGTTGTGTACAACTTCACCAGCACAGCCAATAGGGCGAAATACGAGGAAGAGTACCACAAGTATCTTCCTTTGGCTCCAGTACCGGGACCCCAGGACGGTCACGGGAAGGCTAGGAAGAGCACACTACAGCGTGCTGCATCGGACAATGTCGTGCAACACGAGGAAATCCAGGATGAACAACCAACTCAACCCAAGAGAAGAATTACCAGAGCTATCAAGAGTGCACCAAGCCGTCGGAATGCTATAACTCACGATTACCTACCGCCACCATTGATGAAGGAGGTTACTACAGATGCTGAACCAGGATTCAACCCGTTCGAGCGTGCTACTGTCTCACGTCCAACAAGGGCGCCTTCCGACGATCTGGAGGCCCAACGCGGAACGGACTTCCGTAGTGCATATTCGCCCAACACAGTGCCCTCCATTGAGACCATGACTTCGGAAGAGAAGGCTGCAAAGATTGAAGAGATCAAGGCCAGGCCATCACGGAAGCAATTCTTTGGCGCGAACTGGCGTTTGGCACACGTGCGAAAATACGGGCGGGAGGATATTCATGATGAAAGCGAAGGTGCATGGAAGCCTCACCACACAACGGAGAGATCGACGGCGGATCGCAACTCTGCTCCGAACGATCGCGATGAGAACCAGTCTTTGTTACAGGTCTTCAATCTTCCGACCAATACTCGCCCTTTCAGTGACGGCAACGAGCTGGTTTTTCGGAATACCACGTTGGTAAGTCACCATACCCAGTCTTTCAGGGTAAGAGAGCAATGAACTGACAATCTTTATAGGTTAATGGTCGACTGCCCCGGTCGCGGCAGGCATATCGAGTGGGCAAAGTGTTTGGGGGAGAGCTCACCATCAACTGAACCATCGGTTCTCGGCGCACTGTATGATCTTTTACCGCATTATACCCTATCGTTCTTGGACTGCAATATGATTATCTTTCCTTACCATCGATTGGGCATGTGTGACCCATACATCCTCTGTGGTGACTAAACATCTTGTCTCCGGCCCTTTACACGACTCTAGAAGCCGATCATGGTTTGATCAAGGACGAGCATGTGGAGCGCACTTCGAACAAACTTCCGTTGCTGACAGACCCTCGCTTGGCGCCCTGTGTACCCGCCAGTCTCGCGCCTTCCATCTCCACTGCAAGCACCCCAAAACAACGACTCCCAGACTGTGGCGCCTCACATTGGACGGACGGGCTACCAACGATTGAAGGCCCGCTTATGTCTTGCCGCCCGCGGTGGTGCAGCCCATGGCGTGCGGATGTTTCTAGCTCTGAAACACGGCCCTTGCGGCTACGCGAGCGCGTTTCAAGGCGTCAACACCAATCATTACGCGACTGCCACACCTCGACCAAACCGCGCCTCATCGGCTGGATGCCAAAACCCCACGTTGACCCTGTACGATGCCTTGCAATAATTTCGCAGCCGAGTCTGCTCGCTGCGAAATGATTGACTGGGCCGCCCTCTCGCAGTGCCGTTCCCGCCGAGTCTAGCGGGGAGCGTTTCACATGGGCCGGTAGTACGGGCGCGACTACGGTCGCTGGAGTCGTTTGGGCCACTCGAAGGTGAGGCGACGAGCCTTTCCCAGCGCGATGGTCAATATTGGATTCTATTGTAAGGTTCGCGACTATGGGCAGGTCAGGCTAGCGGCGAATTATGTCCTGAGGCTCCCCTCCTCCTTCACCTTGGGTTCTGGCTTCTCCATTTTACTTCAGTCTTCACGTCTCTATTGTTCGCTATTGTTACTATTGTTGAAGGTGTGCTGCCTTGACGGCGTGGGACACTCCCTTTTACCTTTATCTTCGTAAACTTAACTTGTTCAATCTATACGCTCTCTCTCTCTTCTTTACCCCTACGCTCGACGCGACTGCTGGACAGACCAATTGTATCTCTCTACGAACTTGGACGATTCAGTATCCTACGACTCTCTCTACACGAACGGAATGGCGCTTCTCTCAGCCGAACACCTGGCTGGTCCGGGCTACATCATCCTTAACGTCTTGCGCGGTCTGAACATCATTGCTCTCGCTTCCGTGGTCGCCAGCAGTGTGGTCATGCTGGTGAAGACCTTTATCATCTCCAAGGTACGTCTAGAAATCTACTCTTGAGACTCGCAAAAGCTCACATATGCAGTTCTTCTTCTTCGATGCCACGAGCCATGTGATCACCGCAATCGCCGGACTCTTCTTCATCGTCTCAGAATGCTCGCTATTCCGCAACTTCTACGCTCGTAACTGGCCACTCCTGAGCCCCTCGCATGGCTTCGTCACCCTGGGTTGCGCGATGATGATAGTCGGGCTCAACATGCTCGGTAACATGAACAAGGAAGCCACAAGCCAAGAGTCGCTCACTCTCCCTTTCTGGCGCCTACTCGTTGCCTCTGGCATCCTAGCCATCGTCATCGGCTTCTTCAACATCGTCGCGAGCTTCGTCTTCCGCGACAAGTCTCGGCGAATCACCGCCCGCATGGTGCGCTCTCGAGGCGCCATGACACTACACGAGGACGCCGAGACGCAATCCCAATACGACCCCAAGCACAAAGCCTTCACCATAACCACGCACCACACAGGCAGCACCTCCTCGCGCAGCAACTTCAACAACAGCCCACCCCCCATGCGCACAGGCACCCCACCCGTCGACTGCGGCTCCCCTCAAGTCCCCTCTCCCACCAAGGAAGATCCAAACCGCCTCTCGCAATTCGACTTCAGTCCCCTCCGCGCCTTCCGCAACGCGCGTCAATCCTTCCTCCCTTCCTACCACAGCCAGTCACCAGCTAAACCTAGCTTCTTCTCGCACCGCCCTTCCAGCTCCATCTACTCGCGCACCACGTCGGGCGAGCCCGCACGCAAGAAGTTCTGGCAGCGCCAGCGCGAGGAGCAGGAGGAGGAGACTGCTCGCATGCCTGAGATTAGCTATCCGTTGAATGTCAACCCGCAGTTTGCTCACCTTGTTAAGCCGAATCTGGCCCATCATCCTAGTGTTAGGAGGCCTGAGGCGGATTACGAGAAGTTCTAGGTGGACTGGACTTGTAGGGGTATGGGGAAAGTTGTGAGGATGGAGTACGATAACTATGATACCACTTTCTTTTTTCTTCTTTTCTTTAAGTTGTTACATCAGCATACTGCTTCACACGGCATTGGCGTTTTACACATCGAGACTACGATCATTGACGCTCCAGAAAGACGCCTATCTGTCGAGCGAGCTGTCCTTCATTGGAAACGCTACTTTCTTTTCTGGGGTTCTTACTAGCATATACTCTTCTCTTAGCAATATTCAGTATTGCTATTCAATGACTTGGTTCTCATTGCATCTCAGTGATATGTGATGCGTGCGTATATTTACATATGATACACAGCGTAAGAGTTCGCTGATCTTTCCTGACTTGGTGCTTTGCGAAAGTCCTTGCTACCAGCCAGGACGTGGCGAGTTGACAGCCTTCGCATCATCCAGTCCCCAACTATGCACGCGCTTCGTAGACCAGGGTTACTTTTCTCTCCACAACGACCAACCTATCCCCACCATCTGTCTCTTCCTCTACTCCTCCACAGCAATCGCCTGGAACGGATCAATAGCATTCCCCTGTGGATCATAAAGCTCCAACCTCGTCCCATCCTCCAACGTCAAACTATACTCCTTGGTATAATACAGCCCACCCCTGCCCCTCCTCCTACACGTCAACCTAACCTCTCCCGCCCTCTTCGTCCCCTTGACCCAGAAGCTGATTTCAATGCGCCCATGCAACTGATTGATCTCGCCCTTGATCCAAGGATATTTACTGGCAAAGTAGATTTCGTCGCCGAGCTGCTCGCGCACAAGCGGGTTTGTGCGCAGCGCGTAGAGGGTTGCGGTCACGACGGAGGATTCTTGCTTTTGGTAGTTGAAGAAGGCGAAGAGGCAGGCGGTCATGGCGAGGATGAAGAGGGGCATGGTTTTGAGGATTTGCGGGGATATTAGGGGTGGGACTCTGTGGGCATATGTCAGTGGGTTGTTGCGAAGACGGAGTGTAGATGGAGGGTCAATGGGCTGAGGATGGGTGTTGTGCAATGGTAGACATACGGTGGTAATGCGCGGTTTGGCCGGCGCTCAAGCAGTATCTCGCCATCTTTGGGTGGGGGTATGAGGTTCTCGGGTGACCAGACGCTGGTTGGTGTTTTCCAGGGTACGACGGGCTTTATGTCGCTTTGCGGTGGTGTGGTTGATGCGCGGCGGAAGGGTGCGATGCGGCGGAGACATTGGTAATTCGCTTGCGGTCGCGCGCGTAGTAGCGCTGGGGAAAGCCGTGGAGGAGGCATTGTGTTGTGGTGGAATCCCGATTCGGTAGATTTGGAGATGGGTGGATGAGATCAGTCGATTCGGTGGTGATGATGTTTGCATGGTTTGCATCATTGCGCTAGTGGGGCATGGCCTGGGTGGACTTGCTCCTCGTCGACTTTATCATCACTTGCATCAACACCAAGATAAATCATACACCCTGCACGCAGCGTATTTATGAGATAACATCTCTGATGTGATACTACTCGAGAAGACCGCGAGAACACCTGAGCGTCAGCAACGGACCGTCCCTTGCCCAATTGGATTGGCTACAGAGTACTACGCACTACGCGTCTTTCCGGAATGGATCCAGTTCATTTTCACATTATATGTTACGATACACGACATATTGCTTCATTGGCTCTCTCGTCATTCTACTCGTAAATGGCCGTGAGGCACAGGCCTATCAAGTTGACACAGAGTACACGCTTCTATGTCTTATCTTTTCCTTCTACAGTTGCGATATCAAATCTCTCTTCGCATCTTTCATTTAGCACATCTTCAAGTCCACATGTTACTCTATCTCCGAGAAGTTTGTGTGACCCCATCCTTGAGTTGTACGCAACAAAGTAAAGTTCCTACAGATGTTTGCAGCGTTAAGGTATGCTCGTACGAGTGTCGAGTCTACATTGGCTTAGCAGATGTCTACTTGTCAATATTTAGCAACATGTATGCTGCAACATTCGACACAACATAGCGGATGCCTTCAGCGCACTCGATAGCTAGTCGTAGATTTGGAGTAACAGGGTTCTTTGAAGTTTCTAATCAACTGTCTCGGCGGTGTAGGCATCGCTGCCCTTTGTTGTAGCCAGTCACATGAGAGCGTGTTGTTAGCGGCAACGCCAAGCGTTGCTCTTTCTATCTACAGTGTTTACACACGTTCCGATTTTCACTCTGTCAGATACAATCGTCGCATCAGCAAATCGCCCACGATGCCAGGACTCACTGCCCGCAAAGGACCGGCGGTGTCTTTGGTCCAAGACCAGGACATTGTGCTCACGACCGAAGCTGGCTTGGTAAGCGACCTTCACCTGTGCCCTGCAGTCTACAATAGTGATGAAGACGAAGCTCGCCGAGAGACCCAGGCAATGTAGACTTCTGGGTTAATGCGACGTCTAGCTGACCTTTTGCGCAGTCTGATCTGTGCATTACCATCATCGGCTCGGTCGATGACGATGGCGTCAAACATGTCACAGACCTGCTCGTCAGTCTAGATATCTGCACCAAGTCGCCTTACCTGAAGGCTCTCCTCGAAGCTAGCAATGACAAGACAGAGCTTACCTTTGGTGGTGACTCCAAATCCGACTACGACGGTGAGAACAAGGAGGGTACCCTCATCTGGCTCGCTCATCTCCATGAGCTCCCCGAACAGCGACTGGAAGACTTGGGTCTCTTCAAGGGTAGAGTAGCCGCCACAAATAGCTCTCAAGATATCTTGCTAACTTATTACTAGTATGTAGCTCCCTTGCTATGCTTTGCCAAAGCGGTTCTGAGACATCTTATTATTCGTGCTAACAGCTTGATAGGTCTCGCTTGTGGGAGTC